CAAAAGTGACGACCTTGACCTTATGGATGCATCTAGCTCACCATGTGCAGTTTGTGAGATCATTATACCAGGTGATGGACTCGGACTATTTTGCGAAGGATTCTGCAGAGCATGGTACCATCCAAAATGTGTAAATATTGACGAGGAAGTGTATAATTCCATAGAAAAAATGCCAGGATACGTAAAGTGGTATTGCATGAAATGTTCAGACAAAATTTCAAGGTTAGTTAGTAGCATAGATGATGTTGAAAACTACATTTCTCTACATGCTTCAGTAGCAGAATTAACGAAATTGGTGAAAACATTTACTAATAACACCTCTAATAACTCAAATAGAATTGATAAAATTGAAAGGGTCCTTGCACCAACTAGGTCTAACAACAGCCAGCAGCAGCAGACGACTATTCCTCCATCACAGAGTAAGAAACAAGAAGTTCTTGCAGGAACAGTTAAATCAAATGCAGAAACAGGGTCCGCAAGGCTGCATGGAAACCACAGTTGCTTGGGAAAAGAAGGAACAAATATCCCCTCCCTCTACGATACAAACAAAAAACAGACAACAAACAACCAATCCTGTGGCAAATCGCTTGTCATACTTGAAAAAGACAAACAGGAAGTTGAAAGCGAAAGTGAATGTGGAATAAATGGTGAGTCGGCAAGTAATACTCGTGCGTTTGAGAAAAGTAAATCTGGTTTTACTTACGCTGAGGAAGATTTTCCCGAAACAAATAGTGAACAGTGGAAACTATTCAGAAATAGGAAGCAAAGACAAAATCAATACCGGAAACCTGAAGAACAGAGTGTTAATCAAAGAACAGGAGGAAGTAACCCAGGCTGGCATAGGCCTAGGCCAAGAGAAAATAGGACAATCTTTGGAAAAGCCAAGACAAATGATGGGCTTGAGGTAGCAGATAGGATTTCTTGGCTCTTTATTTCCAGACTGAAGTCATCGGTGGAAGCGGAGACAGTCAAATATCATGCAAAAAATATATGTGGAGAAGACTCTGTCATTCACTGTGAAAAACTAATCACTAAGTATAACAGCTACTCATCGTTCAAGGTAGGCTGCTCCTTCAACAACTTAGATAAGCTTTTAAATGGAGATGCATGGCCAGTTGGTGTAATATTATGTAAATTCACACCAGCAAAGTTGAGCAGGACTAGGCCTAGGACTTTACCCGAATTAGTGCCTGTAACAGGGCTGTCAGAAGAAGTGAATACTAGTCAAGCTAGTACCCCTAGATATAACCTAGGGCATCAAAAAAACTAATTATAGACTCTATTAACAAAACGAAAATAGAGACCCTTGTAAATAGAAATGTAAATAGGCCTATTAATAATAAAAACACTGTACGCATAAGTTTTTTAAATATAAGATCTATGTTCAATAAAATCGAAGAATTAGAAGTTGAAATCAAATCCAATCAATTGCAATTCCCAGAAATTTTATGTCTTGCAGAAACCTGGTTAAACGACAAAAAGAATAAGGCATTTAAGTTAAATGGTTACAATATGATTGCTGAATCTTCCAGAGAAGACTCAAATGGAGGGGGTGTGGCAATATTTGTTAGAGAGAGCGTAAATGTCAAGTTTTTTCCTTTAGATTTGAAGACATTTATGATAGAAGGCATCTTTGAAAGTAATGCATGTATATTTACATGTGGTAGATATAAATTTATTGTATTGGTTGTATACAGACCACCTTATGACAACAATCTATACCAGTTCATGGATGTGCTGGAAGACTTGCTAAATCAGCTAAATTCTTTTGACTTACCACTCATTATATGTGGTGATATCAACATTGACGGTAAGGAGGATTCACTGAATAGAAGGTGTTTGTATGATGTCTTGGACTCGCACAAACTCAAAAATATAGTTACGATGGACACCAGAGTGACGGAAAGCTCTTCGACACAAATTGATTATATTATTTTAAATGACGAGATAGAGTTCACGGACTATGGCACAGTGGCTACTCCCATGTCTGATCACGATTGGCTGTTTATTGATGTAGTTGTGGAACAGAAAAAGAATGTCGGCTTAAAAATTGAAAAGAATAAAATTACCAAGTCCGGGATGGAAGAATTTTTATATCGTCTGGAACAAGAAAACTTTCTAGAAGATGGAGAAGGTACCTCTGACGAGTTATTTAATGAATTATATGATAGTTTTGTACATAATTTTTCTATTTGTTTTCCCCAACAACTTGTAAATGTGAAAAATGAAGATGATTCTAACTGGATAAATGATGAGATTAGGCTATCAAATGAAAGACTGAAGGAACTCTATTGGGAAACTCGCAAAACGAGGAATATTTGTACTAAAAACCAATATAATACGGCAAAAAAACTGCACTCACAACTGATTTCATCGTGCAAAAAAGAACACTACAAAAAGAAAATCATGAAGTCACAGAATATAAGCAAGGAGTCATGGAGGATAGTCCATGGACTTACCCGGGACACGATAACTCACAACAACATAATACTCAAGGAACAAAAGGACATTGTAGACAACCCTGTCGCAGTAGCTAATGCCTTCAACAAGTATTTTTACGAGGAAGTGAACAATTTAGTAGGAACAAATGATTCAGCAAATAAAGCAGCTACTGGAAGTGGGAGACCTCGCTTTCATATGAAACTTAAACCAACGAGTGAAGATGAGATAGCTGAAATTATAAAGAAAATTTGTATTAAGCCTAGTGCTGGTATTGACGGCATACCCTGCCATGTTTTAAAATCATCTGTGTCAGTTGTGGCTAAACCACTATCGCTTATAATAAATAAATCCTTCAATGAAGGCAAGTTCCCAGATAGGATAAAAACATCGAAAATAGTCCCCATCCACAAAAAAAATGAGAAAGATGTAGTGGGTAACTATCGACCCATAGCCGTACAATCTGTGTTCTCAAAAATTTTTGAGGTAGCTTTCCTACGCAGGCTGATCCCATATTTAGAACAACATGATATCCTATCAAATAGTCAATTTGGCTTTCAAAAAAAGAAGTCAACCACAGATGCTGTTTTTGCCCTGCTAACTGCAGTATATAATGGAATCGACTGCTCAGAAGTGGTTTTCAGCCTATTCTATGACATGACAAAGGCTTTTGACTGTTTGCACCACGAGACCTTAGAAACAAAGCTGATCAATCTAGGCATAATAGACGAGCCCCTTAAATGGATTATGTCCTACCTGAAAGACAGATCTCAAGTTGTTACAGTGAAACACATGGGTGATGATGGAGTATTGAGGCACTATAAATCTAAGATTCAACACAACATTAATACCGGAGTTCCCCAAGGCTCGAATCTGGGACCGATCCTCTTTCTCTTATTTGTCAACGACCTACCTGAATCTATACATGAAGGCAGAATATGGATGTTTGCTGATGACGTTTGTCACTTAATCACTGATGTAAATGTTAAAAATGCCATTGAAAGAACACAATCTGGCATAAATGAAATGAGTAATTGGTGCTCTGAAAATATGTTAGTATTAAATCAGGGAAAGACTAACCTACTCCAATTCTACAATACAAAGATCCCAGACTTCAGTCCATTACTTAAAATCACTGATCAGAATTTACAACCAAGCAATAGCGTAAAATACCTCGGTATCCATATTAGCAGCAACTTAAGGTGGTTTGACCATATCAACAAAATTGCCAGTAGACTAACAGTTGTGTGTTGCCTGATAAGAAGACTGATAAACATAGTTGAAAGAGACGTCCTATTGAAAGTTTACTATGGCTGCTTCCACAGTGTACTTTGCTATGGAATTGCATTCTGGGGAAACTGTAGTGAAGCAAATAGAATCTTTCTACTACAAAAACGTGTTTTAAGAATTATCTGTAAAACCCACTTCATTGAGCACTGCGAACCTTTATTCAAGGATCTTCAAATACTTACCCTGCCATCAGCATATATATTGGAATCGGCCCTAAATGTTCTTAAATTTCCCGATTTTTTCCCAAGAAATAATGAAGTACATAGATACAGCACAAGACAAAAAAATAGTATCCATATCAACCATCGCAGAACTACACTAGCACAGACTAGCCCTCAATATTCAGGAAGCAAAATTTTCAATAAATTACCACAAGAAATAAGATTCTGTGAAGATCAAGCTAAATTCAAGAAAATGCTGAAGATGTTTCTATTAAATAAAGCCTATTATTCAGTAGAAGAATTCCTTGATGAGTGAAGGCTGACAACTACCAATGACGACCACGGCTGAAAAGCTTCCAGTGGGATAAATACAAGTATGCAAGTAAGTATGCAAGTAAAAGAAACGTAAGTTTTACATGCCTCAAAATAATTTCATTTTATAACGATATAACCGTTGTTGAAAACATACTTTCAAGGTAAAAATACTTTATGTTATACATAGTCTTAACCAGATATAAAATAACATAAAATGAAAAAAAAAATCTTTTGTGTCAAATTGGGAATGAGTACATTTACATGTGTAGTTTTTTACATAACGATAGGTAACTACTGTAGGTTCAAGCTATTAGGAGTCACCCAAATTGACAATGATCTACCTTGAATTTTAAAATCCATAAACTTAAAAGAAATTATCTTGTAACGCTCAAAGATGTATTGACTAAGATTTATAAAAACTGTTTTCATATCTTAACTACATTTTGGAGAAGACAAACACCACGATTTCTTCTTTAGTGTGTAATGCGTCTCGTTTATCCCAATCTATTACAATGACAAGTTTACTCCTTTTATGTACACATGTTCCGCAAATGTGTCTTCTCTTTTTAAAAATATTTAATGATCTTCTCTGCATGCCCCGTCTTCTTCAAATATGTTTAGATCGAGATAATCCGTGATTTCTTCAACCCACTCTGCTTACATTTTCTTATACTAGTCACAGGACTATTTCCACAAGAATTGTAAAAACATATACTTACAAAAAGTACGAGAGGTTCTATCATTGGTAGGTAGGCCTACTTAGGTATATCATTGTACTCAGCTACACACACTTACCACTCCTTGGCACGTAGATGTTTAAGTACAAACAGTCCTCGCTCTGATTGGCCAGAAGAGGCAGAAGTCGCTCCAGGTGTGCTAGGCGGCCTCGGGGATACTCCAGTAAAGCCTCCGATCTGTTGCCTATGTGCGGCGCCCGCTGGGGACACACGGCGGAGTACGAGTCAGCCAGACGGGGCGTTCTCCACATGGAAGGGGTGACCGGAGGCATGTAACGCAGCGCCCCTAGTGGTGGAGTAGCGTACGGCACACCTAACCAGGAAAATTAAGTTTATTTTATTTTAAATGTTTGTTGTGGGCACACACATCCGTCCAGTCACCGTTCTGTCACAGCCCAGCTACAGTTCAGTCTTAAATGCATCCGCAATTATTTGCTAGTCAATTGGCTGTTAGTTGGTTTCAGTCAGTTTTCTGTAACTTTATTTCAAGTGATGTTACAGTCAAGAACGTTTAATTGAAAGACAATGTTCTATCAAATTCCCATCGTACATCTTTTTGATTGCTACAAACAATACTTAAAATATAAACAAAATCATTTAAATCACAAATTAAAACAGTTTTAAAACCTCAATCGCATACAATACACGTCCGAACAATCCAAAAATAACAGTGGAAAAAACTGAAATTGACTAATAGAAGTTGGCTAGTGACTGACGGACCTGTAGGTAGTGTAATGAAAAATATATTAAACAGTAATTTTACTGTGGCGTTACTGATGTGACAGACCTGAGACTGATATGTGTGAATCGACTTTATGAAAATAAAAGCTAAGTAATGCCAAACCCATATCTAGGACTTAAAGCTTAGTTTAGGTAGATACAGGAATGCATAGCCTTAGGGCTGTTAAAGGAGGGTGTGTGTTTTTTTTTTTTTTTTTACATAGCTAATTCAATGTGTTTTTAACTTTGTCGAAATAAAGTTATTTAATTTGATTTGATTTGCCTTCAGATCAGAAGTATTATCTATTCACCAACAAAAATCCATTATAATACCACATATCTTTTATGTGTATGTATCATAATTATGTACTATATAAATACGTAATTGAATAACACTACATTACAGATACTGTGACTCTCTTTTTCAAAACTCATTGAATTTGAGAAACCACAGCGAAATAACCTCTGATCAAATTTTTTTGCGTAAAAGAATACACATTTTATTAGTTACACACCACTAATAATTATTTTAAGTTATTTTTAAAAGTACTTTTTCCTGCACTTTTTCAGTGCTACATGCATCGGAATGGTACTACAGTTATTTGTGTAACTGATGCGTAAAGTGGAACTTAAAAAAAAATACGTACCCAATGCTATTTTATGTTGATTGAAATATCGGAGTGCGGGAAAGTAAAATGAGTGCGAGAAAGTAAGTAAATGCAGAAATCAGCTACTTTGCGTGTTATAATCAGTGCAAGAATCCCACTTTGCGCTTTGTGAGGTAACTGTGGAGGGAAAATACATTTTACTGTTTGCCGACGTACCTAGGAAAGCCTCGACGGGTGGATGCTGCACAATGACCCCACGGAGAGGCCCGTACTTGGTCCGCACGACTCTGGTGCTATACTTGAGGGAGAGGGCGGTACATATCGTCGTCAGTAGCACCAGCAGGAGTCGGTTCATGGCAGCATCGCGCCGCGTCCTCCAGCGCCACCCCTAACTCATATCTTCTCCTCTCTGCCACCCCTCCGTAGCTTCTCGTTCATGCTTGGCCTGGTGACAGAAGAACATGTTTCTAAAAAAATATACATTTCATTGTTACATTTTTTATTACGTTTTGATACACCCATCTTCCGTAGCTTCCTGATTATGTCTAGGCTGGTGAAATAAAAACATGTTTCTATAAAAATATACATTAAATCTTAAATTTTGTATTACGTTTTGATACACCCATCTTCCTTACCTTTCTGGTCATGCTTAGGCTGGTGACAGAAGCATTTGTTGGTATAAATATTATATAAATTTAGTATACTAGTTAAATTGTATTTATTCACCCTATACCCTATACTCATCCGTAGCCTCCTGTTCATCCTATGGCTGGTGACAGAAAACCCGTTTTCTATGAGTAGTCTATACATTTCATACACAAGTAAAGTTATATAATACCAATGGTAATACATTCTATTCTACCCTATCATCCACCGTCCTTAACATTCATGCTTTGGCTGTTAACAGAAAATGAAAGTTAAGTTTAAGGCAACTATACAAAAAGTCTATATATATTTTTCTTTAGACAGCTTCTAACGTTCACGTTCTTTAGACAACTGCGATTTGAATAATTTTGTTTGGTTTATTTGGTTACCAATAAAATTCTTATATCATAGTAAACGTGGTGAAGAAAGAAAGCAGATAAAAAACTCTGACTCTTATTTTATATAACTTCTAACTTATTAAATAACGACTTAAATGTAAAGCTGGTAAACCAAACTACCATACACTTTAAAACTAATCCATAGATATTCACTACTTATAAAGAGTAAAAATAAAGTACACTCAACCTTATTAATAAATCCACAAATTGTTATGCATGTAATTGATTGTACGAATAGCGATTTTGCCGTAAATAAATAAATAAATATAACCTATGATTTTATATAATAACTAGTAAACATTGCCTTAAACTTTTGGTAAGGGAAATATATATAATTTTGTTATGAATTATTTATACTTTTACCCACAAAACTACTAGACTTCAGTCAAAATCCAAATTAAATGTTTTTAATAAACGTGACTATTATTATATCCTATTATATCTAAAGATGTTTAGGTTCTGTGACTTTTTTTGTAACATTAATCCTATATGGTCACATTAAACTATTTTTTCAAACCTACCTAATGTATTTATACACATGTTGCATTCTAACCGGTAAATATCATACGGTTGAAACCTAGTTAGTCTCACCCTAGTCATGATGAACAAACTTCATTAATAGATACATTTCCATCGAATATTTTTTATCAACTTAACGTCTTTTAAATTATCAAAGAATAACTGTAATTACACTGGAAGGCCATACAGTATTTTAACGATGTTTAATAAGAAAATATGGTTTTATGTAATAAAAAATAAATTGGATTACGTCCACAAATTTATGAACTAGTTTAAGGCAGATCAATATTATAGTTGTTAAAATACACTATAAACCCGTTTGTTAGAAAGGCACTCTAATAAAGTGGATCATGTGTTAATCTAAATGCAGTCAAGCTAGACTCGTTATCACCCTTAACTAGGCTACACGTGGTAAAGAGTGATCAATGATAAAGACTGTCGGTTCATCATAATACGAGTCTTGGCTAAAGGGGCCCTTGAGGACTGCCTCACTAGCAAACTCGAGGGTCCTTATCTTCCTTAATCGCTTGTGCATCATTTTAATTACTTCTAATAAGATAACTCTTTTATTTTCAGTAGTTTGAGCAATTTAGGACTCTGAGGGTTAAAAGATAAACCATGACTTATTTGTAACCTCTCATAAGTTCAGAAATGTCTTGTAAATTTAATTATAGTGTTGTTTGTTGTAATAAAATAGAAATTAGAATTTTTTTACATGACTTTTATAGTCACCTTAAAGTCAAAAATGCTATTTTTTACAATAATTAAAAATAAATATCTAGTTTTATATGTAAAAATGTTATGTATGAGTTGTACAGTATTGTTATTTCATCGTCAAAAAACATAGTTGAATTCCAATTACAAATGTTTCATGGAAATGCGAATAATATTATGTGATAGACCTAAACATATTCTTGAAATCATTACATTTCCACAAATCACTATGAAACAACATTGATTTAAAAAATTATATAAAGTGTGTACATGATTTTAAAACCTGAAAATGCATATTACATATAAATGTTAATGAATTATATGAAAAGTTAGGAGTTTGATGGGTCCATGAGGATTAAAACTCGTCTAAAAATAGCTTTAATCTTTGCTTCTTTGTGACGTAACTGACTCTATTTACCAGCCCAACGTGGGTGGTTGCTTGGTAATACTAATGGAATTACATGAATTACACGCTCAAATAGTGAACTAAAGGCGGACACAATTTAAGCTTCACGCTCCTGGGTTACTTGATGAAGTTATAATGCTTACGATGAATCTAGGTTTGAAATTAAACTCGTAGCTTTGTTTTAAAAGTTTATACAGTTATACGGAAATGAATTTTACCAGATTCAACAAACGAAAGCTGTCAAGTAAATTAGTTAATGCATTGAATGAATTGAAAAATTCTTTATAGTTCTTTTGAAAATACAATAGGTACAATACAATATATCTTTATACACTGAGGTAGTACATAGTAGTACATCAGTATTACAAAAGGTATCGTATTGTTATTATAATATAAACAAAAGTACAAATACTACTCACTACATAAATTCAAATCTATTATTATTCTCAAACAATAACGCCCTAAGGTTAAAGAATCTGTGCGGGAAATAAAATGTATTTATAATTCGTGCAACTTGTAGTTGGGAAGTCCAGCCCGTCACCATTATGTAGTTTTGTTACAAAATTATAAAAATAATATATAAAACTAGGCTTCACTCAATATCTTCAAACCAGCAACCTTTTAGAACAAACCCTTGTCTACAGCATGGATTTTAAAACTAACCCTGTCCAGTCATTCGTCGTGATTACAGGACTATTTTGGAGTCCTGACCTTACAGCTTAATTGAACTAAATGAAAACCACTATTAAAAATGTTTCTCACACTTGAGAATACGTGGGTAATAAGCAAAGATAAAAAATATTGAAAATGAAAAACAAAATACTCACTTAAGGATAAGGATGAATTCAAAGCTGTTAAAACACTACTTGATTTGCATCTGTAGCGATGTGGGAAGGTGCTTCAAGAGTATCGTCTCCTGTAAAAAAATTATGTAGTTAGAATAATATTGATATTTAAATACTTAGTTTGGGGACGGAGTTGTTATATTGGTAGAGTGCAGGGTTTTGGCCACCAAGGCACCAGGTTCAAATCCTGCCAATAACCAATGAATTTTATATGTGATATAATTCGTGACACTCTAGACCTAGTTTGAAGTGATGTGTAAAACGGGTTTTAGCTAGAACCTAGTTCAATAGGATGTAACAGTTAAATAATAAAAATCATGCTCAAATTATTTTACATATTATATTAGTAAATATTAAAATGTAAAATTATTGGGTTGAATCTTACGACTGGTTTTACAAACTGGACTGGTGGACAACACGGTTTTAAGAAGGTAATGCTTCAAACTCAGGTAAATAATACTGAATTTAGCATAGTTAATAGTTAAGTAGGGTACTATTTTTTATTGATATATACTACAATCACGATTATACATACGGACTTATTTGTGTATATGTAATCCTACAAATATAAACCAAATCCAGTTTTAGCACATTCTGCTTACATAAATATAAGCTACCCACAAAATTTAATTCCGGATAAAATGTTAGTTGAATCCAATGCCAAAACACAATGTAAGCTGTCTGTTTTTCAATCTCCGATATTCTTTTAAAGTACAAGTTGCAAAGGAACCATAAACAAGGAGGACAAGTTTATGAGGCGTGGAAAGCCAGATTACAAGCCAAAGCTCTCTAGTCTCTGTTTGTATTTACTGCGTGCTGAACTTTGTTAACGATATTAAAACTTGCCAAGACTTTGCTGTCTTGACTATGTTAAGTTGCATCGGTCAATAATTATTTAGAATCTCTTTACGTTTTTGGTTTAGAGGTATTTTATGGTTTATTGGCCTAAACAGTTTGTATACACCATGTAGCTTCGTTGAAGGTGGTAGGTAATGTTGTATGAAATATAACTTGTTCTTTTTTTCAATTGAATTAGATATTTTATAGAGATGATATGGTCCACCAGGATTCCGCCACTAGGGCCAGGTATTGGCAAAGCACCACTTCCAAATCTACAACCCCAAAACACACCATCATTGGGCCAATGCGGCGTTTCTTCTAGTTCAGAAAATACTTTAAGTCCAACTTTAGTTTCTCCCTTCTTTATCAGGTTAGATTAGGTTAGGTTAGGTTAGGTTACATTCCATCTTTCACCCGATTACCCTTCCAGCCGACCACCATCATTGCACCAATGCGGCATTTCTTCTAGTTCAGAAAATACTTTAAGTTCAACTTTGGTTTCTCCCTTCTTTATCGGGTTAGGTTAGGTTAGGTTAGGTTAGGTTAGGTTAGGCTGGTTAGGTTAGGTTAGGCTTGGTTTAGGTTACATTCCATCTTCCGCCTGATTACCCCGCCAGTCGGCTACCTGGGGTAGCTCTGGCGCAATACCGGTGCGTACCAGGCTGGCCCTTTTCAGTCCTCACATAACTGGCGCAATCCCGGTCTACTCAGATGAAACACCATAACCACAATTACTGAACTAGTATTTTGGTTTAACCACTAGGACATGGCGCCAACGAGACTCCATCTCCATTAGTGAGTAGTGGTTTTCAATTACTGAAGTGGGTTTTATTTCCTTTGTCGAAGTGTACAACTAAGAGTATTTTGATTAAACGAATAAATAAACTAAATGTGAATGTTATTTATCATCATTTTACTATGAAAGAATTGAGTTTTTTGCTTATCTTAGTTTAGTGGTTTGATTCGCAGTCCGCTTTATCAAGCTTATAGTACTAAAGAACCATCTCAAAATATGCTCTTTAAATTGTATTGTTATTTTTTAATACTCGTGCTGAAAATGCGTCATACACCGTGAATAAGGCAAACCGAATAAACCGAAATAACGCTAAGACCTTAATCTTATAAATACCGTACCCAAATCACAAAAAAAAAACATTCATTTATACTCAAGCACAATAAAGGAGTTTGTTTTTGTCAAATGATTATAAACAAGAGAAGCAAACTTGCGGTAATTCTTTTCGCCAAAAGCGTGTAAAGCTTTGACCGTGCGTAAAACTAGATTACACTTGGTGTGAATTCTCGTTACGTTGAACATATTCGTGTTTAATTAAATTTAATGTTCATTTCGTGAGCCTTACATTAGTCATTTGTGTTTGTTTTTATTCAAAGACCAATTCATTTAACAAATTAAAGGTTACTTTTAAGGTAAATTAATAATAATTTAAGTAGAAAAACAGACCACAGCACTATTTTCAATTTAAATTTATAAAACTACTGCGGAGTTAGACTTAAGGGTATGGACCGAAAAAAGCCAACCATCTTGTCTAAATCACGGGAATATTCTCTGGCTATATATTAATAATAATCGCCTAAAACTATTATTTAATATTGAGCCGCAATTTTAAATACTCTTTATCAAATAAAATAACCAAACTGCTTCTTTGTTTTAATGATGGGAAACTAAATAATTATATAACGTCCACGAATAGAACAGTACTAATTAGTAACCATAATAAAGTACTACACATTACCTTTGCTTTAAGAAAAGATTAACTCCTAATATATAAAGGATAAACTATTTGAAGATTTCTTATGTGTATGTATATTTTTAAAATACCTTTTTAAACTATAATGTCTTAAGCACTTTTTCAAATCTATAAACAAATCAGACTATAAGATAAACGTAGTATAGTCTATAATGACCAATAGAGTGAACTTTGGTGTATTTTAATAAAAAATATCCTAGTAGAAGCTGAAAGTAGGTTCCGGCAGTCAAGGGAAAAGACGCCTCGGAGCCAAATTACAAAACCATTACTTAAGTTGAGGTGCCACAGAATACCTCTGGGAGGAAAACATTTCCAACTATTTACAAAGTCTAAACAAACTAAAACAACAATCAATACAATCAACAATCGTAAGCAACAATCAAAACTATCTTCTAAATCTTATATTAATAAATATTCTTTTTAAGAGCTTGTTTAAAGTCTAATTCATGACCACACGTTAATCACTTTTCAAGTTATATGTACACTAAATTAACTTTAATATTTACCTCATCGCCTATTACAAAACAATTTTAACTATCAATTAATTGCTTAAAATATCTATCAAAGTGTGCGTCGAGTCACTGTATTAAAAATGTTATTTAATTGAATTTATTATTACCTTAAGGATGAGTGCTAAGGTACTTTCCAGTATTTTCTGTTGATCAATATATTTTAGTGTTATAGAAAAGTCTATCTGGTATCCATTATTTTCATGCTCTCCTATCCTATTATTACCATAAGTGTCAGCTTTAAGATACTTTGAAGTACTGCATGTATATTATTTGATATTATAGTCTTTTAGTGTTTGCAAAATAGTTTTCCGGTGTCGATTATTCTCATGTCTCCTCCGATATTGTCCTCTTCTCTTCGGGAATGTCGATACTCTTTATACCGATTATGAAAATCTATTCCTAATATTATGACCATAAATATTTAAAGATGTGAAAATGTAGTCGATATCTATATTGTGGATGTAATGTGGGTGGGGGTGTGTAATGTGGGTTGGAATGTCATGTTTAATTTATGATTAAGATTTAAAAATGGCAGTCCATTAAAAAAATTCAATTTTTTTTTGTAAACTACTTATGTTTACATTTTCATTTTATTTTATTTTGGGAAGCATTTAAACAGTGGTCTTATGTAATATTTAACATAGGTCTTTAAATAGATTTATAAAAAATTGTCCTATAACTTGAAAAAAGCATAAACAATCCATCTTGGCCCGAATTGATATAGAGTTTAAGCAAACCAATAACCTAAACATTTGTAAGAAACCACCAAAACCACTCGCTACCAATACAGGTTTTTTTGTTTGCTTGTAAAAAATTATTTATCTTTAAATGCCCAAAGCCCATTAGGGTATGCTAAATAGATTAGAAGTGATGATACGGACGCTGGTATATAGCTAAGCTTCAGGAACCCTTAGCCCACAGCTTATATGGGATGTTAAGTTAATCCATCCTTCCATCCCACGGACTATCAGGCCTAAAGGATTACATAATCCAACCCGTATAAATATTAATGTTATGTTGTAGTTAGTCGACATAATATTATGCAAGACGATATAACGGGGTCTATAAAACTAAGGGGAAGCTATTCATAGTTGCATCTTATAAAGATATATAAGTAATTACCTTAATTAGGGTAATGAATGACATTTAAAATATTCTACTTGTCAGTGTAATCTTATTTCCACTGGTTATTTAGAAGAATATGAAGTCCCTAATTTACATTTATTATTTATCGGACAAAATATTAGCTACATGTTTTTTATTATAATGTTGCAAACTTTCCACCAATTCAATTTTAAACATTTTATTTTAAAGAAGACCAAAACAGTTATGTAGTTAAATGTGAAACGTAATAAATTTTTAATAATTCTTAAATAAGGGGTTTCAAGGAAGAATTGCAATCAAAAGAACATTATGCTTAGAATCTATGTGTAAGCATCTTTATAAAAATAGTTAAAACTTTTTCGTTCAATTTTTATCAAAACAAAATATATTGTAATTACTTTAATTGAAATATGCCGAGAAAATTCCAATTCAAACTTGATATCTAATTTATTGAATTTCTTTCAAATATGTTTACACTAGTCGTATTTGAATTCGGTTTAAAATAATGTAAACAATTTATTAGACATAAGAATTGTTTATTGCTTGAATATATAAGCTTATGTATTGAAATCATTGAATATTTAAAAATATTAGATAGTACTAATCTCTGGTTGGTTAAGTTAAGATTAATTGCCCGAAGTTGTCAACAACTTAGGCAAGACTGATAACAAGCAAGATAATACGGCAGTGGCTTTATCATGTATACTGTATTAGTAGCTTTCAGGCTAAAAGTGATCATGAGCATTTTCTATATTATTTCAGTTGTCTTATATTATAGTATTATAATTTTAAAGAACTGCTAACTTCTTTACATTTTAATACTGTAATAAAGTAAAGAACAGTAGCTAT